ACCACCTATAATTTGTTATTAAGCAAACCTAGACTATACCGTTGGCTGTATTCGGCTCACAATGGACGTAACTACATAAGGCAGTGGTTGATTCCGGGACAACACTGCCCCACTACTCTGAAGCTAGAGCGGTCCCTACTTCTTCGACACCAAATGAATAGTAGTTCTCATAGTCAGTGGTTGTTAGCTCGTACTTTTTTTCAAACTCGGCTCTTAACTTCCTCCACCTTCTGTAAAAGCTCGACCGAGGGCAACCCATCAAGTTTGACACTATTGGCTGTAACTTGTTTTTTATCCCTTTCATAACGTTCTACATTATTCGTCTAAAAGAAATAATTATCTGTAGTTAGGCTGAACAGAAGCAGCAATCTAAGGCGTGCACAGTACAAACCATTCGCCTGCATGGCGTGAGATTTTAAAAAAGGTGGTATTAACACGACGCTTTTTGTTTCGTGTCTGTTTGATATACTAAAATAAGACCTAAACTTCGGTAATGTAACGCTCACTGAAGTTCATGATCATATCAAAAATTATTATTAATTGTAATTTCCTCCTTAACAGCACTGGCTGTTAACTGTTTGTCCTGAAAACTGCGAGACACGGATTAAGGGATTTTTCCCCAAAATTTCATCAAACATTGAGGGAATTTAGAACAACACTATTGGTCTGGGGTTTCACCCCAAAATTTCTCGAAAATCCCTCAAAATGTCTCCAAAATAGTAAGATTGACGGGGTTGTTTGAACATCTTCATTCAACTGAAGTAAGCAAAAAAATTGCACAGATTTCATATCCAGAAAATTGTCTCCCCTTAAAAGACGATACTAGTCAGTCATTGAATCCACACAATATTATACTTCATGTTCTGGCGAGGTTCTTTAAAGGACAAACTTGCTGTATGAAGTTTTTTTATAATATAAAAATATCTTCAGTTTTCAGTAATAAGGATAGGAGGTCTAGTGACCTATTTTAATCCTTGCAGTTTGTTACACTGTGGAGGTCCAATCTCGTCTTGAATATATCAACAGAAGGTGCTGATATTACGTGTTCTGGTAGAGAATTCCAGTAATTCACTACTCGGTGCGAGAAACGAAACTCCAGACGTAGACGATTTGATCTCGGTTTTTGGACTTTCTTTGAATGTCCTCTCAAATGATCAGCCCTAGACGGGGGGAAAAGATAGGACATGTTAGTACCAAGGTCATCGTTCAGGATACGATAAGCCAATATTAGATCACCCCGTATTCGCCGGTAAGATAACGGAAATAAGTTGAGGTGTCTCAGTTTGTCTTCATAAGATAGGCTAGATAGGCCTTTTACCATTTTTGTCCCGCGGCGTTGGACCCCTTCCAACATATCTGACGGTACGATAGTTACTAACTAAATCCCTACCCCCAGTCTTATACACCGGACTGATTATTTCGTCCTTCCAGTCTCTAGGCAATCTGGACTGCCGTAGGGACATATCGAACAGCATCGCTAAGGGTTCAGCAATAACATCTGAGAGGGCTTTCATAATCCGAGGATGAATATCATCAGGACCACTAGACTTATCAGGTTTGAGATGCTGAAGTAGGCTTAAACAGTTTCTTTCTTAATAACTACAGGGTCCATCAGCAAGTCGCACAATCGCTATGAATAGGTGATCGTTCCTCATTATTGGTAGAAAAAACTTTACTGAAATATTCCGAAAAAGCTTCCGCTTTTTCGGTATCGTTTCTTGCCAAACTTAACGGATTTTCTTGTATCAAAAGTGATGGTATTCCATCACTTCTCTGAGTTCGCCTCTTTATATACGAGAATAACCGTTTTGGATTATGTTTGCAATCCCTAACCAATTTTTTTTCGTATGACCGTCTAGTCCTACTAATTAACACTTTACAAGTATTTCTAATCTTACAATAACTAGATCTGTACTGTTCTAAGCCAGTAGAGATGAACATGTTCCAGTGTTTTTTCTACGCCTAAGAAGTTTCTTAACTTCTTTATTTGTCCATGGTGGACTATTGTTCGGTCTACGTGGCACCAAGTATGGTATGAACGGGGACGTGACTACACTAAACTTGCCTTAAAATACAGATCACGCCTCGTCAACTGATAAGCTAGTATCTACTGACCAATCTATCTTAGTAGCACAATCCTGAATTTCTGGTATGTTAGCACTCCATATGTTTGGGCGAGGCTTAATCTGATCGTATATCATATCGCTAGCTCTAAACGTGAATGATAAAACAGCGTGATCGCTATTTACTAACGGGGGAAGAATATTTAGGTTGGCAATATCCTCAGTCTCATGAATAATTACCAAGTCCGACAGAGAAGAACGTTGGTTTACACCAAAACGTGTAGGTTTGGATACATGTTGTACTAATGCATGTTCCATTACTGTTTCCAAGAGCCTGCTATCAAATGAGTTTATAGAGCATTTCGTAGTCATCTCAGTCCAACTAATATCAGGTGCATTAAAGTCTCCTAATATCAAGCATCTGTTATTTGCACTCCATAGCCGAATATGCTCTAAAATAAAGTCATCAGCTAAGCAGATTGGGATGCGATAGATGACACCGAGTGCAAATGTACAACATCCGACAGTGAGTTCACAGCTAATGACTTCACTAGTTCCCCTATTATGAGATTCGCAAACGGAGGAGCGGATATTTATACTATTGGCTATGTATAGAAGGACGCCACCTCCTTTCCTGCATCTATGTCTATCACTTCTTAAACAATGATATCCGGATAATTCTGGGGTGAAATCGAAGTCATGGACTAACCACGTTTCTGTCACAGCTACAATGAGTGGCCTTAATTTGTCCACTAATGCTCCTAGCTGTTAGAATTTATATCTTAGACTACGGGCGTTGGCATATAAAACTCCTAGGGAGAACGACCTATCCACACAGGCCTTGGTAGCATTCGCTTCCAAGACCTGACTATTCGAAAACCCACCAATCGGAGATTTTCTTCACCGTTCTGTCGACGGGTTTCTAGTTCAGCTAGTGCCGTCTTCCTTTTTATTCTATCTTCAAGAGACACATCCGGTCTAATTCGAATGTCAGAGTTGTCGTGACTTCGAGCGTTACTTAACAGAAGATTACGTTGTTTCTCCGACCCTAAGATTACCTTAAGGAGTCTACACGGTCGGGGTAGAACACTGTCATCGACCCTTTTACCTATTCTAACTAATTTTTTGACCTGAACACCTTTAGTGTTATCTGGCAATATGCTACGGATATATTCTCCGAGCCTCTTTAAGTCATGCGTGTGTCTAACCTTAGGATCTGGATGGTTAGACTCTGGCAATTTACTGACAATAATATTCGATGATATCAAATTCCTCTCAGTCGCACTAGGATGATGTTCTGCCGTTCTATCAGAGTGCGATAGTGCGTTGAGTGACTCAGATTGTGAGTTCCTCAATGACTTGTCAACCAAGTGTGCCTTATCTTTAGCTTTTTTTCCTTTTCTTTTTCTCCTTACTGCGGTCCATTTTTCGTCATTCAGGACAGCTGCATCGAAACTATTGGGGACGGTGACGGTTCTATCCGGGTCCTCAATTTCTACTAAAGATGCATGATCACTCATGTCAATACCATGTGGTGATTTACTCCTCGTTTCTTGTAACGGAAGTTTCACTTTGTCATTAATTCGAGTGGGTTGTTCAGCGCGTAATGTAACAGCACTTACAACACTGACACAGTCTTCACTGTCAGTACTTGCGTTACTAGCGCACCCACTATCGTTCTTTTTACAGGCTACAGCCAATAGGCTCATAGCCTCCTGGATTAATGTCGTCTTGTTAGTACAACAGAACAGACAAAACCAGTGCGAATTAGGCTTAGAACATCTTTTGTATGCAGCTGGACTGAGACGGGTACACATCTTGTGGAACCATTTTTTGCATTCATCACACTGCATCCCTTCATATACAGGGAATAAACAGTTCGGCTGTCCACATTTGAATGAACTGCCAACCATTGTAATCAGATTAAGTTTAAAACACAATATGATCACAATAATAACACAAGCGTCAGAGGATATGCAAAAGAAGGAACCACGAGACAAAGATTTCAATAAAATTTCAAACCTTGATTGAATTAATTGAAGTTAAAGTGTACCAAGAATGATTTTGATGCAACAAATACACAAAAGGAACGATAATCACAACAAGCATGAAAGTCACTGCCCTTTTTGAAACGCGCGCTAATAATATCTATTCTGAAATAGGTCCTGCCAGTTCCGTTTTTTAGCATGTAGTAGATTGTATTTCTTACTAACCTACTTCTAAACCAAAGTTTCTATACCTGTGTGAATACACAGAGGATTGTATTGCCGTCAACTTCTTTAAGTGTTTAAAACCTTATGGGTCGTTTAGATCACACGTTTACGTACAGTTTTAAATCCTGAAGGTCTGTTGTCAGTGTTAAGGTAGGGGTGTGTCGTTTTGCGTCTGTTTACTAACTAGCCGTATAGCTGAATCAGTAAGACTTAAGACAGCAGATCTAACATATTTGAGCGAAATTCACTCATCTATATATTTGAATAGTATTATAGCTGATGTTATGACTGCAGTTCGTGATAAGAACTCCAATTACTAACCCTTAACACATAGCTGTATATCACATTTCTTCACACTAATTTATAACCATATTTTGATTCTAGTAGGCAGTTGAATTTTTTCAAGCTCGTTCTGCATCTCTCAGAGGCCGTTCATAATTTATACTCTCACTGAAAGCGCCAGATGGTGCTTTCAGTCTGTCTAGAACGGTAGGATTAAACTATACTGCCGAACCAATCAGAAGCTTTCGCGGGTTTTCAAGGTCACGGCGCTAAGTTCGGTACCTGATGCTTACGTACGATCGGTTTACAGCGGATTTCAGGGAAGACGTGATAATTCAGCGTCTACAAGAGAAGTGATCATAAGATTTTGGCGCGAAATTCAATTATCCATTTGGATAAATAGAGTTTGTCATTATAGCTGTTGTCAGTTCGTGATGAAAACCCTAAGTATAATTCCTAGCCTTAACCATGAACTGTAAATCATAATTTGAATTCTTATTACAGTTTTATAACCCTCATTTGGTCTTAGTTATTATTTGACACTCTTAGAGTAACTCTAGCGTCGCTCAAAAGTCATTCATAAATTATAGTCTCACCCTTAACCCGAAACCTTAACTCTAACCCTAAATCGTTAACCATACCAATATACTAACATTATTGAAGCTATGTGGTCGAGGCTAAAAGAATTTTTGAGACCTTATCATGGTTTCAGAAGTCGACTACTATGAAGCCATATGGATGTGCTCCTGTACCGTATGCACCATGATTTTAGAACTTCTGAACCTATATCTGACCTTCAGAAGTTTTTGACTCATGTAAAAAAAGTGTTTACACTTTAATTCTTTGGTTTTGTATAATAAATTTTTACTGTATACTAACTGCCTTCTGAGTGGCTAATATTTCTCAAGGTCATTTAAGATTCGTTCAAAGGTCGGCAGTATAGTTTAATCCTACCCAGAACATCTCAGTAAAATCTGAGAACCATACAGTAAATACTTGAGTTGCAAAGTGTAAATCGAATGTTTCAAACTTGACTGTTACTTTTGTAAATGTCGATTAAACGTTTCAGTTTTCACTATTCATTTGTCTTCACAGCAATCATTCACTGATCCTCTTAACCTTCTGCAGCCGTATAATGTATTTTTGATTCATGATACATACTACTTGTGTCTATCGACATCAACAGCACACACCACAATACCACTATTTCTTCTTTAAACCGTCCAGTCAAATTATTTTTCAAAGTGATTGCTTCCATGATTCTTTATTTCCCTATCTAATCAAGTTAGTCGACAGCAGGCAGAGTAACCTAGCATTTCGAATAAACCTCTTTATGAACTTTGGCTGTTACGAAAAAAGTCGATTGATTTTAGCTTATTCAATGTTGTTTCCATTCGCCGTGTAAATGCGAGGATGAATCTGCTAAGATAAATTCTTGAATGCATAGACCAAAAGTTCACTCTTTAGGTCTTTCAAACTGGTCTTCAAGTATCCCAGTGTATGCGAATACCGAAAATGGATTGAGTGAAATATCTTCCAATCGTCATAATGAACAGCTCTAGGCAGTAATCGCAATAATACTTGTCGCTTGGTCGGGTTGACGTTACTCAATATCCAGATTTTTAAGTCAATTCTAGGAATCGGTTTTACCTCTTAAAAGTTTTTCAATAAATTATAAATGGTGTACCAGGATTTCCTCTACTGATCTTCAGTATTGTAGGAAACGACTAATTTTACAATGGCGAGCAATAAACTTACTTATTGGTTTTCATGTTTGTTTCTACAGCCAGTTGCTACATCGTTCATTCTGAGTCCCACGTAGCACAATACCTGAGTTTAGTTTTGACCACTACTACATATCTAACACTAGGTGTTCCTAATAAATGTCGTCTATTTCAATCAGTCCTGAAGGCGTTTTCTGTCACACAATTTCATAACTTAATTGGAAACCCGACTACATTATCTGGAGCATTCTTTTTTAATATCCCAAAATCATGCTATTTTCGAAATACGTCTAAAGTAATTATATCTTTACTGGAGTGTTTTCGTAGAGGAAGTCAAACTGCCACTAACTATTAGGATTTTTTAGATAATTGCCTAGAATAATTAAGTACTGTTAAGATTGAACGAACTTAGAATGTCATGTGGTAGTTTTGGAAGCTAAATTGGTTTCTTAGTCAGCCGCAGTCGTGATTTAGTTTCAATCATCTGTAAATGATCTAGATATCTTTTTAGTTGACATCATAGAACATGACTTGATACTGTTGCGCTAATTTCATTAGTCTCGAGCAGAAAATTTTAGTATCAAATGTTTTTTGTCATAATCTCTGGTTTGACCTGATCGACCACTTACACTTTGTCAAATTCAGCTGTTGTTCACATATTTTTAGTAGACTCACTATGTTATCTTGGTGTCCTTACTGAACTGAATAGAGATTAGTTGTCCTATATACAGCAGTTGTCGGACATCAAAAGCACTAAACCACAACCACGCTTTGTTCCTAGTTGGGGAAGTACATGGATTATGTTTTAAATTTAAGTATTGTTTCAGTCATTCGAATTAATTTCAAAAGACTAGAAATTCAAATCATATGCTCGTACTTAACAATCTAATAGTAAGTTGAGGACCATTTTATTTGGCAGGATAATATTCAATAAACTAAATTCCTTACTTTCACCTATTTTATTATAGGTCCAGATCATGCAGGATTTATTGAAATATTTCGTTTTACTCATTTTTTCACTCGAATTTTTACTCAGCAAAAGTAATGCTGAACAAGATTATTATGACATTCTTGGGATAAGTAAATCAGCCTCAAATAGTGATGTTAAAAAAGCCTTCCGTAAACTAGCGTTAAAATATCATCCAGATAAAAATAAAGATGAAGACGCACAGAAAAAGTTTGTAAAAATTGCTGAAGGTAAGTTGAATCATTTCATCGCTGTAAGCTTATTATATGTCGATCGTTACGTAACCTTTTCGAGAAAAACGTACTGTTTTTAACTCGTACCACAAATTCATTTTGTTTATTGATCATGACATTGCTCTATGTTTACGTCTAACTGGGCTTTAACTATCAATAGATAATGTTAAGTAATAGATCCATTTTTGATTTAGTGATAAGTCAACTTTGATATGCCGGATTGTCGGGAAATAACACATAAGTTTATGAAGAAATAGAAAGTATAAGTTCATATCAAGGCAATTCTTTCCCTATAGTAGAATCACGTAGTTTTAATTGAATTGTGTCTAATAGCGTCTCGGATTGTCATGGGAACATAATAGACAAACAGCTATCCTCTATCCCACTCTACCAGGTTATAAACATATCATTACTTATTCCTCCTAATATTGTTGGCAAATGATGCTCAGTATGAAACCTGTTGTTTATATTATTTATTTAAACACATATATATTGGTACAAAAGGGCACCAGGTACATATGCGCCACACAAAATAATGAAAGTAGGAAGAGAAGGGATGAAAAGATAAGGCGGACTGAAATGTACAACCAGAAGACTCTTCCAGTTAGGAAAGTTAGAACCATTCTTTATATAGAAAGTAAAAGAAGGTTGCAGCAGGATCGTCACTGGCTTCTATTCTGAGCCATATCTGATAACGTCTCTAGCCACTGTGTTGCACCATCTCTCGGACCCCAACCAGGGAGTCGTAAAGGACCAACGGAAGCTAGCCCTTTGCAGCTTTCTTTCATGCCACGACACCATGTCATACACTGACCTCCCCTCCGCTTTTTCCAACCAGTCCCAGGGTCGGCAAATAATGCACGACGTGGAAGTCTCTGGGACCTGTTGGGTTTGGTTTTGACTGCTACTAGCCTCATTGTTATTGTGTGGCGCATATGTATTTTTCGCCCTCTTGTATCAATGTTTGTGTTCAAACAAAAAAATCTAATCATACCTTTGCATACAGTATGTTTAGATCTCTCGTCTGAATTACACCCCTATTCTTATTGAAGGCCGGAAGTATATCGTTTTCACTTACTGACCTCATACTGATATTTTGAATACCTTTTGAAGGTCAGCCTTTTTGGAGAGATCGGTGGTCACAATCAAGACAGTATGAAACAGCTTGATCGTAATTACTATTTTTTAAAATCCTGTCTAGCGTTCAAGGTGCTTTTAAAGGTCCCGAATTTCCATAACACCAATTTCACAGGCTGTTTCACTGACACTAGGTACCTTATTGCCAGTCGCCCCTATAGTGTTAAGTAGTTTTCCATAGCCAATAAATCCTGGTGGTAGCGTTAGTGATAAGGTCCATTTACACATATTGTTAGCCAGTGGTCTATGATAACCTAAGCCATCTTTGGTGTGTCGGTGATGTTAGTCCGGCTGTAAAAGATCGAGTTTACAGAGCGTCAGTGAGGGTAGTTTTGCTTTGTGCTTGTGAAAGCCGGCATCACCAAGTTAGGCGTGTCAAAGAACTCTTTGTGTTCGTTCGTCATTATCTCCGAAGGATTGCTGGCATTCAGTGAAAACGTGTGAGTTTGACAGCGTACGTCCTAAACCAATTATTTGTTGTTTTACAAGAAAAACTTAAGCTCATTGTTTAACAGTATTCTGGTGTATACCTATGACAATTATAAGGTCCCTACAGATTCCTAGTATTTATTAGTCGAACGCTTTGCAAAATAGCTAGTAATTGTCCCCTATTTTCATAATGGTGAGACTTAAGTTGATGCGAAATACATCTGTTTATAGTACATTATTTATGGTTTGTATAACTTGAAAGCATTAGGATGTCAATTGTTAAATCCATAATGTTCATTTTATTAATGAGTTAATACCATAAATTTCGTAAAGCTTGTAATGCTATCCGGTTGCCCTAATCGAACCAAATGGTTGTCTTAAGACACTCCCATTCTAATTAATGACCTAATAATCTCTTCCACAGAGCATCCAAATGATATACCCTGCATATTAAAAGTATGGCTTAAAGTCCAACTTATGAACCTATACTTAATTGATGAGATACATCCCGACCGTTGCTATTACTTTGACGTAATGATAGGGCTTGCTTATTGTGGCGAATTGACTGAAACACTCGCTTCTCAAGGTTCTACCATGTCAGGTAGATCGGTTGAAGAACGATAAGACTAAAAGTGAAAACCGCCCTCATACCTCTAACAGCACTCAGGACTTTTTATTCATGACCAATTTCCCTCTTCAATTCTTATTATTCCTCCTACCTTGACTTTCAACTCTAGATCTCATCTCTCGACTTCCTCCTCAGGTGTCACCATGGCCGACGATTCTGGTGCGCGAAATACTGTCTCAAGTTTACTAAAACCTCGCTCCAAACTACACATTGGAACCTTCAATGTATGCACCCTATGTCAAATCGACCAACAGGCCTCCTTGTCTAAGACCCTAGAATGTCGTACGATTGATGTATGCTGTGTCTACGAAACACACATACAGAATCCTAGTGTAGTCATTCACTTGATTTTGCCTAGCCGAAACGGGAGTCGACGAGATACACCCTCCATTTATCTGGTGACCCGACAGCAGGTTCTCTTGGACTAGCAGGTGTAGAAATAGCACTATGTATGAGGGCAGAAGAAGCACTTTTAGAATGGATCCCTGTTAACATTCGCCTATGTGCTGTTCGGCTAAACAGCTCCGTAAACAATTGGAAGAACAGGGACACATATCGTTGCGTTCTCGTCGTTTCTGCCTACGCTCTCAATGACTGCATCTCGGATGAAGTGAAAAATAACTTTTACGGAAAGCTTTCTGAAATTCTTCAAAAAGCTAAACGCTTCGACATAGTACTCGTAGCAGGTGACTTTAATGTCCAAGTAGGTAGCTTAACCCAAACAGAAAGACATTTAGGTGGGTATTTTAGTATCCCGACGTAGCCAACAGATAATGGTGACCTTCTGCTGCAACTGTGCTCAGACAATCGTTTATTTTTAACAATTACCAATTTTAAGCATAAGAAGAGACATCGTCTAACACGGTGACCCCCTGCAACAAACCAACGGTGGATTGAGATAGACCATATTGTCATCAGTCATCGTTGGAAAGGCTCAACAAAAGGCTGCCGCTCGTTCTGGATTATATGTTTAAACTCTGACCATGCTCTGATACGAGCATGCATTTGCTTGTGCCTCACTGGAGCCAGAAAACCACACTAAGAAGACCTATTAGAATTGAACTCAGTGACGAGAAAGTCGAAAATCGATTCCGGGAACTAGTGAAGTCACACTTAGGCAGTACTGAAAACGAGGATGACCAAGATATTGCTTGAAAAGATATACAAACCTCAGCGACATCTATTAATGACTTGAACCAAAGGGTCTCAAAAAACGAGTAGATTTCTACTAAGTCTATTGCACTGATGGATTCTCGTAAACTCATCCCATCACACTCTGAGCACGATGAAGAGCGTAAACAAATCAGATCTAGGTTGAATAAAAGTCTAAGGGACGACCGTGAGCAGTGGTGGGCAACGAAAGCAAAAGAGATGGAGAAGACAATGTCTGTAAGTAACACAATACAGCTTTTCAGACTCATAAAATAAACTGGGATTAAGAAGTCAACCGTAATATGATCTCGGAAAAACACGACACTTGTCTGTTCTCAGCCCAGATGTTAAAATCGATGGGCGGAATACTTTAAGGAGCAGTTCAGCTGGCCTTCAGTTACTGTACAACTTAACTAGCCACCATTCCTAAACAGCCTGAATGGAACATTGAAGTAGGCTCGCCGGCCCTAATTGAAGTTAAAATAACAATATCTAATCTGAAACGAGGAAGAGCAGCTGGTTCAGATTAATTAACTCCGGAGGTCTTTAAGGATGTTGGTCCAGTTTTAGTGATTAGGTTGACTAATATTTTATCTAAAATATGGGGATTTGACGTAATCCCACCTGACTGGTTAGAATCACTAATTGTCCCAATATATGGGAAAGGATCAAAATCATCCTGTGATAACCATAGAGGGCTTAGTTTGACTAATATCGCATGTAAATTACTAGCTTCAATAATTATTGAGCGCCCAACAATGACTCGTGAACTGCGAACATGAGAAAATCAGGCTAGCTTTAGACATAGTTGTGGCTGCATCGACCACATATTCGCCATTCATAAGATTTTAGAACACAGGCATGCTTATCGGCGTCCGACAATGATATTCTTCACTTAAAAGCAGTATTTGACTCTGTCGACCGAGAGGTTCTGTGGCAGTGTCTGTCATTAAGAGGCGTTCCTCAGAAGTGCAAAAACCTTGTGAAAACTCTTTACTCGAACACTACCAGTCGAGTCGGAGCTTATGGCAAACTGTCATCTGAATTTACAACCTCAAGTGGTGTCCAACAAGGCTGTTCACTATCCCCATTTTTGTTTAACTTCATCATAGACCTACTTCTGGAAATGACGCTCTCGTCGACTGAATTTTCAGGAATTGATCTCCTACCAGTAGGTCTACTTATCGACTTGAAATACTCAGATGGCATAGTCCTGTTTGGTGAAGACGCTGACAAAATGCAGTGTCTTTTGGTAGCACTGAGTAACAGTGCAAGGATATTTGGGATGCGTTTTCCCCCTCTAAATGTAGATTGTTGCTCCAGGACTGACCTGCGTCAACACCTGAACTAAGGATAGGGAGGGAAGTAATCGAACTTCACTTATCTTGGAAGTCTGATCAACCCTGACGGGTTAGTGTCTGATGGAATCTCAGCACGGATTCAAAAAGCTCGTTTGCTTTTTACCAGCTTACGTCACCTATGGTGAAGGCGAGATATCCGTCTATCAATTAAGGAACGAGTATACTGCTCAGCAGTTCGTTCTGTTCTACTGTACGGCTGCAAAACGTGGCCATTAAGAGGAAGAGATGCTTGTAAGGTACTAGTATTCGACCACAGATGTCTTAGAAATATTAGCAGCATCTTTTGGGATCACCGGGTAAGTAATAGTGCAGTTAGATGCAGGGTATTAGGGAATCATGACGTTGTGAGGCGTCCAAACCAAAACGTAGCATCTGTCCATGGAATCACTAACTTCTGGTATGAGCCATGATGGTAGATGCAGACAACTTGGTTGTGGTCCGCGTAACTTTCGTAACCATTGATTGGAGACTGCATGACATGGCTCAGAATCGATCACAATGACGTGGGTTTAGACACTTTTTGTCTTCCCTTGAACCGCGGGGTTAGAATTACTGAATACCTTTCTACGAACTAACTCTTTCACATATTTTTATGTGCAATCTTGTTTTTATATATTACTACCATTGAAGTAACTGCTTCTATTAATTTGGTGTTCGTCTTGTGTTGGTGAGGTATGGCAACTTGGACCGATACATATATGTGCCTGGTCCTACGTTGTAGCTGACTGGCTGCTGAGATACATCCACGCACTAACAATCAACTGCATATTTACTGAGTTAATCCTGATAAGTATCTAATACAGTACTTATTATTCATCCTACTAGTAACCTAATGCAATAATCAAAACCTTATTTTATTGTTCAGAGTCAATCTATTGTCTTTCATACAGTTTAAGGAAACTATATTTTTAGATTCTATAGAAAAACTATTGGATTTCGTCTAATCACTTTGTATTACTCGATATTTTATTTTGTTTATCTCCTTACCAAGCTTATGATGTTCTCTCTGATGATGAAAAACGTAGACAGTATGATAGTGTTGGACATAGTTATTATACACAACAGCCTGGTGGAAATGGTGCTCCAGATTTTGATTTTAATAGCTTCTTCCGAAACTTCGATATGTTTCGTCAGCACAGACATTCTGATGATCATGGTTCGTTCTTCAATTTCCGTGGATTATTTGACGACGATGATGGTGATGACGATGGCTTCTTTTCACCATTCGGCGGTATGTTCCATTCATCAGATGAATCTCATGGGTTTATCAGACATCAAGGTAAGTTGTATGAAACATGATCCGTGATTTAAAACACATTAGTAGGTTTCAAGTGACTCATTATAATTGTATTTCAATATATCTCCTATATGATTTAAACAAGTCAGTAATGCTGAGGTTAAGTGTTTTATGTTAGCTAAAGATGGCAATTTGAGTATTAAAGTTATACGCTTGCATCTACTGAAGATGGATGTAATACGTGTAACGCATGAATAATAAATACCTACCTTGATGTGCGATGCTGAATGAATTGGGAAAAAGTTCGGAGTAGTCACATTAAAATATGTCATCGCGCCATAAGTTTATTAACTATGGGTCTGAGTCAAGTCGATTGGTGTAGGTTTCCTGATTGGGAGTTGAGCAGTTGCATTTATTCTCCATTTTCCTCCAAATCTTGAGTTATGTACCATTCGTAACTTTCCAACCTTCCTTCCTATTTACTTCTTAATGATCTATACTTTTCGTGTTTAGATTTCCATGACAATTGAATTTAAATCCTCCTCTCTCTCACTGTACTGATTTACTGCATGACTACTTGAGTAAATACACATCCGTACCAGATTCTACGTTGATGAATATTTGCAGATAAAGTGACAATGTCGTAAGCTTGATCACCTAACGGTTCAAAAGCCTGGCAAACAGAAACTACTTAAAAAGTGTTAGTGATTGAACGTTTGAAGACTTATTTTGTTTAGTTTTGGCGGTCGTATCTCACAGCTAAACAACAAAATATAACTATTCTATTTTCGAAAACCACTTTTCGGTTGAAATTTAGTCACGATGCTATAATTTTGTAGCCGACAAACAGTAGTCTTTTTAACGGTAGAGGTGTTTGCATTGATTATTCTTCTAAATTTTAACAGGTAACGTCTTTAATCAGGAAAAATAATAGCCATATTCTTAACTGCTTTTTATAGGTCAACAAAACTGTCAAACTCAAACTATACGAAGAGGTAACACAATTATTACTCAAACACGTTGTTCTTAATTACATCCTAAAAGTGATTTCATTGATATTATTTTGTACGATTTTACGGAAATGTCTCACGGTTGTTTGCCCTCTTGATAAGCTTAAAATTTTGTACAGCCAATGATCGTTATTATAGTGTTTCACAATGTCATTTTGTGTATATGAACGTTGTATTACTTTTTCTATTAATCCACATAAAATAACTGGTTGTTTATATCACAGTGTTTTTTTTTGAAAAATGATTTTTATATACAAAAACGTATCTTTACTTGTTCATCTCTTCTGCTTTATTGTGTTGAGACTACCATTGTCTTTCTCTTCTCATTGATTGATGTGGATAATTTTAAAAAATAAAGAGTGTGTAAATGGGGATTTCCACAAACAATAAAAAAACCATGATAAATAAAAATTTCCATCACTTCATTTGTTGGATAAATATAACCATCTGTTGGTTTTTGTTTGGTTTAACAAATTTTCATAATAAAAATTAAAGCCATTAATGTATTGTTTTTTTTAAACGTGATAATAATGATAATCTGAGCTGGTTTGTGTTGCTATAATCAGAATTAGTAACTTCATTATAGACTGAAAAACTGTTGATTTTAATTCATCTGGAGTATATGATAAATAGCATCATAGAAAATGATGTTACATAATCTCAGCCAGCGAGTGTGAGTAATTAAACTGATTCTTCGTTCAAATATTAGTCGTTTGATAAAGTATTATTGGTGAAATTGTGATCAATGCGACAGAACATAATTACATAACAAGAACTATCCAAGATCATAAACTTGACTATACATTCCCTCCTTAGGAATTAATATAGAAGTAACAATATAATCTGAGAAGATTAATGGCTAAACAGTTAAGACAAATATATTTCCAAACGTTGGCTTAAGAGGTAATTAAATTTCCAGAGAAGTCTGTTGGACTATGAACCACCAAATTTCCGGACCGATAGTCACGCCTTGGCTTCGCTGCCCATAGCTTGCTCCTAATCTACTGTTCCAGATATCACTGAGTGTTAGAGTAGGTCCGTGATTAGTATTTCAAAGATACCTATGGTTACGTTTCAGTAACTTATAAGTGTCTTCTGCTTTCAAAAGCCATGTTTGAGTAAAAATCTTCGTGTTTGCGTCATTTTAGTTATTATCATGTATAAGCAATTTGCCTTATGACGAATTTCCGTCCTCAGAAAATTCTATCCAGTAAAATATAATCATAAAGACATTTTTGTGTCATAACATTCTACTGATATACACAATAAAAAATTCACTAGAACTTTGAGTGAAACTATATTCGAGCACATAAATACCCGTATAATATACTTTCCTTTAAAAATTTTCGGTGAATAATCACGAACACTATGGTAGATTTTGATCATTTTTTTAATTAGTAATATCATTCGATTACGTACTGCTTCAAACCACTTATTATTGTCATGGTGATGTTACAGTGAATTAAAAAGTAATGAATGTTGGAAATTAATTATGTACTAGTTTGATTAGTTACTGTTACAATTCGGTCCTACAAATACTGATTATCTTATTTGAAATATATATAGTATAGTTAGTAAATGTAAAGAAGAAACTTCTGATTGATAATAGTTTGATTAAATATTAACTTTTCAATTCGTCTACTAAGGTGTACGTCTAAGTTAGATTTATACTGCCATATGGTTTCAGTACTATCATTCTATAATTTATTCTATTATGAATCTGTGGTGTGGTCTACTTATATCCATATAAGTTGTATATGGTGATGGTCAGATATATAATGTATTTTGGCAGAAGATCGACAAGGAAAGAACTGAAATGAAGCGCAATCGGTAGGGAAATGCATGAACAATGAAATTAGAGAAGATGAACTGATATTTACAGAAAAATCAGTGAAGATTGAGACAATTGGTTGTTATTTTGCAAATTAACTGTTTGCTGTATGGTTATCAGAATTTAGTGAGATAGTCTGTAATTTGTGCTTAAATACATTCGATTGTCCCCAACTAGTGTTTTTGCTCACAACAAAACCAGTGAACATAAATTATTTGACCAATTCTTTGTGGGTTATATATTCGTGTTTATGGGTTGTATTTTCGCAATACAGTAAATCTTACCAATCATATGTCAAGTGTTGTCTTCTGATATTCCTGTATCATAGGTGTAGAATACTAGGGAACAAACAACCTTGTTTTTTATCACTTCGTATGTTAAAAGTACATCATGCCGACAAACCAGTCATATTGCTGATAACGGCTAGTGGATTGTTGCGCGAAATATAATGAGAGAGCTATGTAAACCCTAACAATATTAAGACACTAAATATTAATAAATATGAGGAGACTAAAGAATAGAGACCATGTTCTATGAATTCCCAAAGGTACTCGATTTTCCAAATTGAAGAAGTAACTGAATAAATATCCATATGAATACGAAGTATCCTATCACTCGATTTCTAACCCTAAATCTTAATCCCAACGCCAAATACCCGTTTTCGACTTACTATGCTGTATATTGAGTATTCTCATTACCTGCATCCTGATTGACTAAAAATCACGTTTGGGTTGTTTGTATGTTGTGGCTCGATCTGTAAGGGCATATTGCACCGATAACTTTGAACCATTTAGAAGTCAATCAGGAGACAGTGTTTAATTACGAAACAATTAACTATGGAAAGCAATAAAATTACAGCGGAGTAGTAGTTTAAATATGATTAATTAACCTTAACTTATTGAATTATTGATTGTAGTGAAAGAAGAAGGCTAAATTTACATATTAATAGTCTCCCCAGAGTTCTGATTCGGGGCTATAACCTCATAGGGTTTACGTCACCAACTGACATCAGCTATAATGCAACAAAGATTTGCCACCCTTTTGCTGATAAACTTAAGAAAGTTAAGAATAAGATTTAGAGTAGAAGAATATTAAGTAACTGTACAGAAATCTTTTACTGTGCATTGAATCATACCAAATACTCGAACATAAAATCTATAGCAGGAGCAGATATTCCTGATAATTTAACTTAAGCAACATGTCGAATTCTTTTTCTGATTATGTAATGGATCTTTTCGTTAACTTCGAACATCTTAGTAACCGAATATGACCTTTTTTACTTAGTTTATAATAACATGCAAGTTATCTTTCACGGCATTTTCAATTTCGTGTAAAAATCCATGAGGCACTATCTTGATTTCGATTGACTCACTGAAGGCTGTCAGTCTAGTATACTTTAACCATTTCGTAATTCTTGTTACTCAATACAGTATGTACCTTTTTGTTTGTATCAATTCATTCGGTTATATCATTTTGTGTCGTAGATGAATAAATATCCTGTTAAATAGTAAAAAATACTCATGATATTTAATCAGGAATCATACATAGTCGGAATATACTACTGACTAGTATGATGTAATAAAAATTACACTTTTCAAGAAAATATTACTGTTAGGTTGTAAATATCTATCTCTTAATAAATTTCTACCATTTTCGAAAAGACTAGAAGGACATCATAGTTTTAGAATCTTCTCTTGTGAATTATTGCTCTTTTCTTCATCCATGAGTAATGTCAGGCGGAATGAAAAATAGCTGTAATTGTGAAGATGAAATCTTACTAAATAACATCTTGAAACTTCTGTTACCAACTGATTCATATGATGTACATTTATTGTACAGAACGCTAAACTTTCACATGCTGAAATTGACAAACTTATTGATCAAGTTTTTGTGACCGACATTAATGCTAAAAATGATTTGATAACTATCAGAATAAAACATGAATACTTCATTTTCTATTGAAACTGATAAATTACAACTCATTAACTTGTCTATAAGAGAATAAAATATTCTACTCCCGGAAGTTTTACCATGCAATCAGTTTTTCCTATATTTTAACAGGTATCTGCGAGATTATAATTTACGGATAACCTTTGAGCGAATTTAAAATGACCTTGAGAAATACTAGTTAATCGGGAAACAGCTAGTATAGAGTAAAACATACAAAACCAAAGAATTAAAGTGGATACACTTCTTTTACATGGTCCAAAAACTTGTAAAGGTTAGAAAAGGGGTTCAAAGGTTTTAAAGTCGTAATGCATACGTTAGAGGAAATCATCCATATGGCTCCATAATAGTCGGTCTCTGGAGCCATGAGAAAGTCGCGAAAACTCAGCTTCGACTTCATAGCTTCAATATTGTTTGTGTGTACTCCGGTCGTGTAAGCTTGTCATTTTTACTACGTATATATCTCTAAAATACCCATACCACTAAACAGCCGAAGCTTCAGTAACATCCGCGATTATTGCAACCAATGCTACTGGTGTTTTTATTATACAGTTCGCTGCAATTATTATAATATGCCTTAGTCTCAATCTGGATCGAGCAAGAAGGTCCCTATTCTAGCACACGTCTTCCTTCAACATATGTTACATCAAAGGACAACATCACGGTAGTCTGCACAAGGTCTAAAAGTCATTTGTTTACTGCAATTACAAATAAAGGGATTTCTTAGGAGTCCAAGTTATTGTAACCATTCAGTTGTCACATCTTCTCTAAAATCCTCTGTGAACCGATCGTACATGAACACCAGGTACTGAGATCAGCACCGTGACCTTGAATCCCTCAAACGCTTCTGAATGGCTCGTCCATAAATTATAGTCTCGCTCAAGTGTCTTTAAACTTAGTCAGCTCTATAGAAATACTTATTAAACAAACTATTGAAGAAATAATTTCTTGTTTTAAATGTTTTTCATGATCAACACTAGAAAAAGATGCAGAAACTGGATAAGATTTAATCCGTAAAAAGATTGATTAAAATTTTATTTACAGAATAAGACTTTTTATTATCTCTATATATTGAGCTCAATAACTGTTTATAACACAATGAACTTGTAACATAATAACTATTTCAAGGCGATCCTTACTAGGATACATGTATCCCAACCAAGATTAATCAAATTTCAGTCAAAATATCAACAACAGGATAAGCTTAAGATATTGAAAGTTTTTAAAAAAAACCAATGAAATCTTATTGTCTCCTTATTTATAATGATAATAAATTTTTATTTAAGGTATGTATAACTTGATGGAATTAAATATTGTAACTAAACGTTTATTAATAGCACACTTATTCATACACATGTACTAATTATCAGAATTTATTAATCTATAATTTTTGAATAAAGTATAATATATGAATAGTTGAAATTAAAAGTATTCAGTAAAATTCCTTAACTATTATATCGGTAACAACTAAAAACTACGAGTACCGTTGTGTCCTTACGCCCGATTAATTATATCACGTGATACGACAGCCAATAAGAGACACCGAATTATACAACCAGACTGAGAGCCCATAAACCTATACGAGCAAACTAGAGTTCTTATTGGCCCACTGGGAATAAAAGCCTTCCTCCTAATCTAGCCGGTTTAGTCCAGAACACCAATATCAGCCTCCATGATACGAATCATATATTTCTAACATACTGCGTTTATATACAAATAAATCAGACCACATCACACCATAAAAGAGAAACTAACATTTTTACAAGATTAAGTCAAAAATCGGCTGTGATTCCGAGAAACTGTGACTAATTGATTGAGAATAACTTGAAAATAGTAAATCATATAACAGTAACCAATAAGTCAAATAATAGCTTGTAATAAATGGGATATGAATATACATATAATATAATTACCCTATGATATTTGACAACGATATGCTTCTATCCCCATTTTCTTTCAGTATCATTATAGATATGATCCTAGAGATAA